TTGTCGTTTGTTTCCGTGTTTCTCTTTTTTTTTGTGCTCTTTGCTCGTTTTTGCGTGTTTCTCTTGATTATTTTGCTTATTTTACATTTCTCTTGCCTTTGCTTTTGTGCCCGTGTAAATATTATGTGTTTTTAGTTTCGCTTTTTGTTATTTTCTCTCTTGCCTCGTGTGCCTTAGGTTGTTTTTCTTGATCTTGTGCGAGGTATTACGCTTGAGGAGCCCGGATGGATCCCTATTCTCACTATTACGCCGGGAGCTCATTTCGTGGATACCCCGACAATTCTCAAGGGGAGATGAACTCATTTGGCCCTAGCCACCCTTATTCTACACCCCAATGCGATTATTATGATCACTATCCGGCTTATGACGAGACGCCTCTCTACTATCTTCCATCTCCCGGTTTTTATGATGTTATGCCTCCACCCGAGCCGACTCGGGCCCCTCCAACCGAATTAGAGAAGATCGTGGCAAAGTTGGAGGAGGACGCTCAATCACTTCGTGCTTCATTAGCCTCCCTATCCGAAAAAGACGAAGCCGAGTCCTTCACCCTTCCCTCTCTGGTATTTGAGCACCCATCGGTTGGCCAACCTCGTTCATCTATTCTTGGAGCTTCATTTCATTCTGAGGTTGGGTCGATCGATCGTCACCAAGAAGTTTTGGCGAGAACTCAAGACGCACTCGCGAGCCTCGCGTCGATCATCGAGGAGTTCAATAGTTGGAGGTGCATCCCGATTCCATCCGCTCTCCGTGCTACACTTGAGAAGTTCGACTCCACCGTGGTGTCTTTTCTCGACTTGGATTCATCTTCTATTCCGCTCGGTAGATATTCTACTCTATCGGCGAATATTATTCGAGAGAGCACCCGATTAGAGAGCGAATTTCGGGTTATGGTGGATCATTGTGCTCCCTTGAAAGAGAAGGGCCTCACTCCCGTGTACGATGGGACTCAACCTGTAGATACGAGTGAGGACACCAATGAGCTTATTGTCGAAGAACTTTCTCCTTGTGATGACGTGGACTTGGATTCTACACTAGGTACGTCAAAATTTTCTTCCGTCGATGGTGCTTCGGGTTTTGATTCAATTGTTGAGGAAGAGAGTATGGTTTCGGAAGT